TGTGTGTGTGTGTGTGTGTGTGTGTTTCCTGTCTCTTCTCCACACCACAGAGACCTCATCCTGGGAAATTGAGCAATTTCTGATTGAAAATAGTACCGGTAATTAGAGCACTCACTATTTGTAACCACTTGGCATTGCATTAGTATGCAAAGCTGGCAGCCAGCTTATCTTGGGGAAAACGTTTGTTTCCTTAATTGCCCTCTTAGGACAAAAGTGAACAGTGTGGGTGGGGAGGGAAGAGAGTAAAAAAAAAAAAAACATTAACGTGCTGCAGAAAGAATGGAGCCGGGTGTGATGTGGGGATGTGACTCCCTGAACAGAGGGGTTAAACTCTACTAATGGACTGTGCAACACACACACACACACACACACACACACACACACACACACACACACACACACACACACACACACACACACACACACACACACACACACACACAACGAGTAACAGTGGAGCACCCATGCACCCACACATGGGCACACTCTTATTGGCACATGGACACAACTAGCCACACACTGTTCCAACACACACACACGTCTAAGTATAACATACGGTAGATAATTAGACACGTAACTCTTCATTGTGCTAATGAATTACATGTTTTTGGAGAAAGCACCCAAGATGCATTGCAGGAAATGGGCTTTCTTTAGTTCTCTCATTATTTATTTGGATAAGTTTGTTTCTGAAACATTTACAACACACAAACTGTCACTGAAAGCTTGATGCAAAACTAAATGTCACTTCATATCAGCTATAGAAGGTGAAGTGTTGCCTGCAACAGCTCATCAGTGCTAGCAAGCTAAAATAATATTTATTATTAGTCAACTCCTACACTGCGTCTGTCAGAGTCCTCATAACTCTTCACGTACAGTACTGTCCTGATGAAACAGATCTTATCGGGTTCGGTTTGTTTAGGATCTGGGTGTGCATACTAACCTGAAATGCTGTTTTAATTTTACAATAAAAACGTGCTAAACGGTCAATTTTTTTTTTGCACCAGTGATTTAAAGTAACACACGTGAAACTTGAACAATTAGAATATGGTGGAAAAATTCATTTATGTCAGTAATTCAACTTAAAAGGTGAAACTAATATGTGATACAGACTCATTCCATGCAAATTCAGATATTTCAAGCCTTTATTTGTCATAATTGTGATTATGGCTCACAGCTGACAAAACCCCCAAATTCAAAATCTCAGACAATTAGAATATTGTGAAAAGGTTAAATATTCTAGACTGAAAGTGTCACACTCTCAGCTACAAAGCTCCTGCAAAGGGTTCCTGAATCTTTAGATGGTCTCGCAGTCTAAGAAAAATGATGGACGAGTTAATTAACTTTGCACCATATTACACTTTTTTGAGTTTCACCTGTACACTCTAACTGAGGAACTGATATGGATATTCTCTTCACTGTAAAAGAAAGAAATGGAAATAAATAAACTGTAGTTGGCATAAAATTAAGGAGTTGATTTGGCCATTAATCCAAAACTGATTAATAAAAAGACCATCCAGACTTAAAAAAGTAGTGTTAGATTTATAAGCCAGGCTGGAGACAGTGATGATCCGCTGCAGTGATTTCCTCTTTGAAGATGTCACCAAATGTTGGACTGTAGCGCGCTGACCCATTAACTGTGGAAAAGACGCAAATTATCTATTTCCTGTTTTGCAGAATAAATGACATATTTAAAAATGTGTCATTAAAACTCAGCTTAGAGAAAAAATAATGATGAGAAATAAAAAGTTTTATTACATGCACAACAGTGCAAAGGCTGTTAGATTTGCAAAAAAAATGTTTCAGAACAAATTTGAGAACATATTTGGTTTTAGCCAATTTAAATCACGTTAATATAAACGTAATAAAAACAAACAACATCAAGTTTAATGTGACAGAAATTCGAAAACTTATTTTGATAAAAGCTTGATTTTATTCCTGGAGAAGTGAGATAAACTATTAAGTGGTCCTGAGCTTCAGGTGAAAAAAACCCATAAAAAACATCAACTTGTGTTTCTGGGCCTTCAAGTCTTTTTTACAGATGTACGTTTCAAATTATTATCTGAGATCAGACAAACAACGTTAAATTAAAAAAAAATAGTTTAGTTGCTAAAATAATATTAAATTCAAATTAACGTTTCCGTGACAGACGGTTGCGTTCTACTGGCACAACAAGTTATAAAACACAATATTTCACTTGATTTTTTTCCGAGAGGGACAATAAAAATACATTTATTTTCAACTTCCGTCTTTAAACTTGTCTGAACGCAGACACTTGGAACGATGGGAGCGCACCGCCCGCTCACGTGTTGCTGAAAACATTTAGAGTAAATATAATTAAAGTGTCTCAAACAACTTAGAAAAATGAAATGACTTTTTAGCACATTAATCAGCGACTGATTCTCTGACTTAATTGGAACAGATAATTAAAGAAAGTGAGCGCAAATCTACACCTCAGGATCCGGTGTCCGCGCGCAACCCCGTGAGCGCGGCGGGTGGGCTGTGAGTCCACTCCAAAGTGCGCTCAGCTTTGTCCTGATCTACGTCACAAAGCTTCAATGAACGAGCCTATAAAAGAACCCTCCTCATGATTTATTAAGAGACCGTTGGAGTTTATCCGAGGAGATTCTTATTTAGTGTGGGTTTAATTCTATTTTCTGATATTTTTAATCATAAGCAAAATATTCAATCGTGTGTCAAACCGTACTTTTTTGCCATTTAGAGAATAACAAACCAAAAAGCCCATGCAGTCCTTTGAGGTTTTAATGAAAACTAAACAAAACGTCTAACAACAGAAATACGATTTAATTTAGCAAACACATTTAGAAATATAGGGACATAAATGAGTGCTGTTCACATGACTGTCTTTATGAGACACTGCTGAAAACAAGCAAAAAGAAATCCTCTTGAACGCATTGTTTAACTGGTAAACTACAGAGTGCCTTTTCCGTTATAATAAAATCACACGAATGCAGCCCTGCTTCAAAAGGAATCCCCCTTTAGATCATCTCCGGGGAGAGATGGAGAATGTCCGACTTCCTTAATGTTGTATACGGGCCAAAATGGCTTTAGGAAAGCTGAATCAGTGTCTGTGTACACAACCTGTCCCACAAAAGCCAGGGCTAATCCAGCCAAAGGACACAATGCACAGGGCCCTGTTTACACGGGCTATACCCACAGAGGGCCTCCGCCCCGTCCCGCTGCACCACGCACCACCAAGGCTGTGCGTCACAAAAAAAAAAAAAAAAAAAGATAATAATAAAATAAATGATCAACCGGTGCAATTAAAAACATGTTATTTAATAATTTAAAGTAGACCAACTTTTACTATTGGTATTATCTCATTCTAATAAAAGAACTACTTATTTTATTTCACTCCTGCGTAAAAGTTTGAGTGTCCAGTAACGAATTTCAGCATTTGCTTGTCTTCAGGCCCTTTTTTCCACAAAGCTGGCTGCGCTCACAACTGTCCCGCGGAATAAAAGCAGCATCAACCTGAAGATTTCAAACAAGCACTAAGTGTTTCTCTGCGCAGACTCAAAGCCGGCCTGGCTGCATCTGCTGTCAAAATTGCATTAATTCATCATCACACCCACAAACGATCCAAATGAACGCCAAACATGTTCACCATCACTGTTTGAAACAAGCTGGACTGTTTTCCTGATGAGCCCGTCATTCCCCAAAGAACCCAAGTGCTCTTGATTGTTATTTATTTTTCATAATTTTCTTACTTTAATTGTGTCACATATATGTTTTTAAAACACAGGCCTAGTGTATAAATTAAACCCCGGATACAAAAACATACATTTCCTGTAGGTTTCTTCCGTAAATGCACATGTGCTAATTTTAGGGATTTTTTTATATTTAATCCAGGAGCTAAATAGTTACCAGTAACGAGGACAACGCTTAAATCGCTCATTGTCCCTCTTTCTGTTCAGTTATTGACTCTTTAGTAAATGAAAAGGTCTGGCTGCTGCGGCGCGATTTTAATTACTTTTATTGCTCTCTTAGATTTCCTCTTTAATCGACTTAGAGCCTTTAGTGCTCGTCTTCTCCGGTCTTAGGTGCGCTCCTCTGTCTCCGAAATTGCATTTTTCAAGAAGGTGCAGAGGGGGTTGGTAATTACTCCGGCGCAGCCAGGTAAAATTCCGGCGCTAAATTGATTTTTTTTATTTTAATCCTCACTAAGTCCCAATATTCCCAGGAACCCGGAGACGTATGGAAGAGGAGTCAAGCGGACCCCCCGTTGCTTCTTCAGGTGATCGTCGCCTCGCCTCGCGGAGGGGGAGGGGGTGGGGGTGTGGTCTCTCCATCAGCAGGAAAAGGAGATTACTGGATCTTTATCAGCCATCGATTACACCCTCCCTCACAGATCTGTGACTTCACACAATTTCAGTTTTAGGACATGCTGTTGCATAATGAGCAGGGAATGTTGGAGGGAAAACGATGTCATAAAATAAAACTCAGAGGTTTTATTCCTCTGAGAAAACAGGTGAGCTTGTTTATGCAAATGAACCCAGAGATGCATATTTGTTTTGGATGCTATTTACCATTTAGCATATTTGTCTTCTTAAAAACAACAGAACACACACAATGGATCGCAACAACAACAAAATCTAGATTCAATTTTTTTTTAATTATTTCAAGACGTGGCAGAAGTTTGCACCTTCCACTTGCCACGGTGCAGCCTGAATTTACCTTCCCCATATCTTTAATTTGTAGTCACCAGGAATAAAAGGCTGAAATCTCAGCTCTGGCAGCTCCCATGTCAGTCTTTGCAGGAGTGGGTGACAGAGAACAGCAGGCAGATAGCATGCTAAAATCGCATCACCAGAGACCTCACATCAAAGTAGACCAAACCTCTTACTGAGTGAACTTTTAAGCCAGAAAGGCTGTGTGACATCAGAGCGCCTAAAATGTGACTGTCATGTTTTTATTTATTTATTTATTTATTTATTTTTTTTTTTCAAACTTTGCTGAACACAAGCTCAAAGATTTGAGAACTATTCAGAGACAACAACAAAAAAAAAGAAAAAAATGAAAAAGAAAAAGCAGCTGTTCAAACAGGCACACTAAGATTAGCAGCCTTTGTTTTACAGGAACCTCAAAGACCAATTAGACTGAGAGACGGTTGTGACGAATTTGTCAAAAATAAGATGATAGACACCACTTTGGCAGTGAACAAACATGGCTGGGGATTTCACTCAAGCGGAGTCATTGACAAGACACTGTCAGAAAATGTGTCAGCTTCAGCAGACCTGCCAGTTGACAGAGCGATACAGTTTGGGACTAAGGCTGATCAATTCCCCGAATGCCAACAAGACGTAACAGCACTTTATTTCAAGTAGGAAAAAATATTCTGTCCTTGGATGTATTGTCAACTTTTTTATTTGCATCACAAGCCCACAACATCCCAAGATACGGAAGTGAAAAAGAATAAAAAAAATAGACCTAACTGTGCCATATTTACCTTAGAGGGTTTCAAAACTCTAGCAGAAGACTTTGACCTCTCAATTTGGACATAGTCACGGAAGTGTCTCGTCCTGCTCAGGGTTTTGTTGTTTAATGCACACCAATACAGCACCTCCGAATGTTGAGCTCATTTTGGGCCACTTTTTCTGAAGTGAAATCCAATACTCAAAGCATTTTCTCCTTCAAAGTAGTCCCCTGTTGTGCTTTGTGACCACAATTGTGTCAATCTCATACTTTCAAAGCCTCATCTCTGTATCAAGCGTCGAGTAGCTGTCTATACGTGCCTCCGAATGGAGTTGGAGCTTTGATGGCTGGTCTGAAAACAGTTTGAAACGTTACGGCAAAATCTGAGGCGGAATTTAAAAAGGAAAAAAAGAAAATAAGTTTTGATTTTGGTTGCACGTGAAATTTGACCTGTGATTTGTGAAATCACTGGCACACGCACAAACTGTGTGGTTACGACACGGAGAAGAAATGATGAAGTTCAAAAGGATCACGCCAGCCGTAGGAGGGAAAGTCCCAACCAACTTCAGAACGTTTCCAAATCCATAAATCCATGGATTTGTAATCAAACAAGTGATGAAATGAGTTAGTAAGATAACAATTCTCAATTGTGATCCAATGATGAAAACCATTTGTCAGATTAAATCTTCAAGCTGAAGAAGCTGTCACAGAAATTTGATCACGCGAAACTTGACTAAATTCAGAATAATCCGCAGTCACAGGTCTACGTGTTTGTAATTGGTGCCACCATGAATCGCACAGACTTGTCGAAGGTTGGTGGGCATGAAAAAGCTCTCAGATCCACCCGAAACAACAGCCATTTCAAAACCTGTGTGAAGCCAAGTGATTGGGAACAATCAAACGACAACGATCAGAAGAAAAGAGACGCTATCTCAATAAACTTTGTCATTCACCCATTCAGAGTTCAATCATATCTGAGGTGCTTTGCATAACTATGAGACGTTGGTTCTAATCCTCAAAGGGTTTTCGACCTACTTGGCTTTGCACTGTAGTCATTCAAGGTCGCAACCCGGTAGGAAATATGGGCTGCCATAGCAACACAAAGATGGCCTCTGAAGGCTTAGCATAATTCTTCCCTAATAGAAAAATAACAGCGGCAAATCCCATCCTTAGTGAGCTCGCTTATTTGACAGAGGCAGACTCCCACCTGTGAAGCACATAGTCACCACACCAACGCGCTAAGACGCGATAAGATGAAAAAGAGCCCATTTCTGGATGGGGATGGGCGGCCTAAGCTCAAGCCAAATTCTCTCTCTTCTCTGAAGTGAGACTCTGGCTAGCTGTAGGTTTTTGAGGCTGGACAATACAAGCTGCCAAATGAATCACACTCTCTATGTACTACCTAACTTTGAAGTGCTTAAGCCATACCCTGAGAAAGAAAAAATAAACCTTTGGCAGAAGTAGACGGCTTAAATAAAGATCAAAACACTGAATTGTTTCACCGTGCCTTATGAGATCATTTAAACTCAAACAGGTATTTCTTTTTTGTTTTTGACCAGCTGGAGAATTTTACTATATTTCTGATCGAATCCTCTCAAAAATGTCCTACTGAGGGTAAAAATGGTACACCACTTACTCAATGACAGCCTTCTTGATTCTGATCACAGAACACCCCCCCCCCCCCCCCCCACACACACACACACACTTTGCTGCCATGCAGGTACCACGGAGATGGAGTCTTGTCACTGTGTGAGTTGCACCAGGATGATGAGCGCTAGGGAGAGAATAAATTACACTTACGAGTGGGAGGCATGTAACTTATCAGTCGCTACAACGGTGCGTTGCTCTCTGCTTATCGAATCACTAATGAGGAGAAATATTCTGCAATGTTGCAACCATGGAGATGCAAGTCAAAATCAAAGGTTTCATGAAGCCATTACTGCAAAAACAGACTGGGTAAATCACATGATTGCAACAAAAATGTAAAGATGTGTGTGATAAAGGATGGAGGAAATTCATGCATTTGAGACATGCAACGCATCTGACTCAGCCACTTTTGCATGACCGGATTTTTGTTTATTCTATGCTGAAGTGTTAATATCTCACTGCGAGGCTCAGGTTCTGCACCTGCCTGTCAGCATCCTGCTGTAGACACCAGTCACATGCCTGCGCTTACAGTATGTTTCATTCTACTGATTAACCCTGTTCCCGTAATCCAGACTGTGCATAATTGTCATCGCATCAGCGTTGATTCAACGTTTCATTGAGTTGAAGAGTGAAGATCAGAAAACGAGACTGAAAGTAGATTAATGTTATCAAAAAGTCCTTTCAGCTCAGGAGAAATCCATTTGGTTTGGTCTCACAGTTGAATCAATATAAAAATCATTAATTCTTAAGTGATTCTCATCTTAGAATCTAAGTTTAACTGAGGATAATTACTCTTTATCTAAATATCTGCCACTTGTGGCTGTAATAGTGTAAGGGTGATGTTTTATTGCTCTTAAGGGGATTTTTTGTCATGCAAATGAGAGTTCACCAGCTTTCTTTTCTTATCGCGTTATCTTTTTAGCTGTTGGGCAAAAATGTAAAAATCATATTTGAATATTCTGTTTCCTCCCATTATATTAAGTCAAATCTATTATAGTATTTTTGCTGATTAAAAAAAATACAGCTAACTTTGCTCCTTAAGTCTGTTACCTTTGGCTATGAAAGTGATTTGTTTTTGAATTCCTGCATCCTGCACCATCTATTTCTTCATAGTGGAGCCCACATTTGAGAAGTTGAATCTTTTTCACTCTGTTTAGTGGTCCAACACGAGGCCAGAGTTTCGTCCCTGAAGAGAAACCCGCTGAACGAGGGCCTGTAAGCCTCCTGTTTCACCGTCTGTACACCGAGTACCTTTTCACATCAAAGCTACACATCTCCAGGAAAGAATGGCCTCTGCTGAGATATGAACACCTCTGACCCCATTTAATGCAAAATAGTCCCCTCCCCCTCGCCAGGTCCTAAATCCGAGGATAGAGTGGCTATCTGACGAGATCACTCAGAGGTGTGCGGGAACTTAAAGGCAAAGAGTTTCTGAGCATCCTACCAGGAGTCTCAAAAGGGTTCCATTAAAGCATGTTCAATATGCCGGTCAGGGCTTTCAAAGTGTTGCACACCCTCTAGCCCCGGCAAATTCAAAGGGGCATCAGAGCACATTCTGTAAGCGGAATCTGGCCCCATTAATTTAATGAGTCCAGGGTATTAGTATGCTATAAGCTAGCTGCAGAAGCTCCCTTTAAAACATCTTTGGAGGAGTTTTAAGAAAAACTTGGGAGTGACAAAAGAAAACATGGAGCAAGGTGCAAACTCAGAATCCAAGCTCAGATCAGATCAGCTCTCTGTCCTCGGAGGGAACTTTCAAGTCCTTAAGCCGTCTTTGAGGAAAGCTTAAGAACAGAAGGTGGCCCTTTCAGAGTGACATGGAGATCTGTGCTGTTTATCATTAATGCATCCAGTGGAAAACAGATGTGGAAATCATAAAAATGAAAATGTTGATGTTCTCACCCATCACTAGTCATGGGTAAGACTAAATATACTAGGATTCTCAGTTAACACTGTTGGTGCTGTCATGTTGAATAAAATCACAGACAGACATGAAAAATACCTGATTAAGTACTCAAACTGCCCCTGTGGTGCTTTTTTCATACATGATGTCTCCAAACAAACAAACAAACAAACAAACAAACAAACAAACAAGCGCGCGCGCGCGCGCGCGCACGCACGCACGCACGCACGCACGCACGCACGCACACACACACACACACACACACACACACACACACACACACACACACACACACACACACACACACACACACACACACACACACACACACACACACACACACACACACACACACACACACACACACACACACACACACACACACACACACACACACACACACACACACACACACACACACACACACAATGTGAAAAACAAATACCAGCTCAGCAATCCCAGCTGGTAATAACAGGCAGGGATTAGCACTTGGAGACATATTTGCATAATGTATTTAGAAACATGCCGCAGACTTTATGGCTCTATGAGCATATTTCTTAATGCAGATCTTGTCTACAGTTGTTCAGCAGTTAATTAGCTTGGTAAGCCGTGATGCAGCTCTCTGAGGACCTAACACCTGACTCCGAGGAGAACACACACCGTATCGCTTTACAGCTAGCCGACGCTAGCGCAACACTCACCTGTAAGACATTACAGAGACAGTGCAGTTTGTTGTGGTCAGTCCACCAGGAAGCAGCAGCAGCTGCAGCTGCTGGAGCTAATTAAAGCCATAGCAACACAGTAACATAGCCTAGCGAAGGGCCACATCAAACGCTCCTCTTCATGCCAGTCTGGAGTCTCATCCCTGGGATGCGGAGGCCTCTTGTGACCTGTGCTGGGACCCTGCTGGGCCCCGAGAGCTGCGAGGTGAAGAAGAGTGGGTCAGAATCACTGTGGGGTGCACCTGAACCAGACTTACCTGTGTCTGTGGATCTGCATACCAAAACGTGGCCATGTGGCGGCGAGGTGTGAGTGCGTGGACTCTGACCTGAACAACAAAGCAAAGGAGAGACCCGGAGTGAGAGGTCACAGGGAGTAAGGAGGCTTGGGAAAACCCACACATAAGACTCATTGGCTAAACATGATCAGAGAGGCACACATATGGTGCAGCAGAGGTAGAACCAGACACCGGTGAAATCAAAGCTCAATGTAAACATGTCAGTTCACAACTGACAGTTTTACACAATTTAAAGGCTTCAACGAATCACCAATAACACATTATTTTTGGTTATGTCCAAATAAATAATGCTTAATTTTACCCAAGTGCAAATTTTAAAAAACATTCCAAGTTTCTTTTGAAATAACTCCTAGTTTAATCGTAATGAGCACGCTTGCAGAACAAAAGCACCTGAAGCCTGTGGAGAAAAGTTGTTCCAGCCAATATTTATAGACGTGTGATAAAAGATAAAAGATGAAAGAACAGATAGTTGACTCTCTTCAGTCCGTCTGTTTCTTCTCCGAGCCGGCACGTCGGTTGTTCGCCCCGCGTGTAGCTAACGAGAGAAACAGACCCAAACAAATCTCTCCTGAAACTTTTTTTCTTCTGCAGAATAGATAAAAAATAGACAACAAAACATAAGAATGTGTTACTTATAGCAGGAGTAAAAATTAGTGTTTCAAGTGGAGTTCCTCCTGAGTGAATACAGTTGAGGAGCTAAATCATGCTTGTCTGAAACGAAATTTTTTCCCCCACCTACGTTGAACCGAACCTTGAACATATACAACGGTACAACAGTGTTGCAGAGTAAATCACATGGGTGTCGGTCGCATTAATGATTCAATATTGAATCTAAAAGTAGTGTGGCAGAAGGGTGTAGGCGTTGCCAGTTTACACGGATCGGGTCCTGTTGGGTGAGACGCTCCAAACACGATGTGTCGTGGCTCTCAGGGTTTTGTCTGGCTGTCATTTGGAGAACGGTATCAGCCACGTTGGGGGGGATGCTTGAAGCAGGTCTCTGTCTCCACCTGCCACCCAGAGCGCTGACACAACACCCTGCTTGGATACATGTGGTCAGACCTATCTCCAGGTATGTCACCATCGGCCCAGGCAGACTTCAATTTGCCACAATTTTTGGAAGCAGCACGTCCGATGCTTGCAGGGAGTGTGTTTATAAAATGGCACCTTTAGAACAGAGACCCTTTTCACCTTTTCGGGGAACACCTCGCAATAGTGGAAGGAAATTCAGTCCACCCTGTGTTGGTTGTTTTGGAGTACCTGCCAAGTCGTGAGACTGGACAAGAAAGAAAGAGAGAGAGAGAGCCCTTGACTGGATTTGGCAGACTGGTATTATTCTGCCATTCTGGGCAGCACAGGTCCTCTTGGTGTGTAAAACAGAGAGGAGGCAACTCACCGCTTTGCGTCTGTCATGGCTTCATGTGCGGAGTGACTGCCTGTGAGGCTCAGAGTGCTGTGTTCTTTCAGCAGTTGTCGTGCGGTCTCAATCTCTTTATACATTTCACTGCCAGGCTCCTCTCCACCAGGCCTCCCCAAACCGTGCAATCAGCAGATGTCTTTACAGAGCGGCTCACTGCCACATGCATGGCCTGCAATCTTTGCCAGTTTCAATTGGCAAAATATATTATTTTTTCATTTAGGTTATTAATATTCTTTTAAGCCCAGCAGCCAAGTTGATGTGGCACTTAATGTGGCCTGCGGTTGAAAAATAACTGCCTCTCTCAGCAGTTTGAATGGAAACGGCTGAGTGATTTATCTTCAGGGTTTCTACGTTGGTCCAGTATTGTTTCGCTGGCCTGATTTATTTTTCTACATTGCACAAAGTAGTGCATCACAGTCTTTACACCTTTGTGACCATGAATTCAAACCTCCTGTGAAGGTTTTTAGAACCGTTCTCTCATTCAGTTGTACATTAAAATACAGGATTCAAAATTTTACTGGAACACACTCATAAGCTGAATTGTGATGTTAATTTAGGTGAAGATGGCAGCAAATCATGGTACTTGTTACAGGTTTGAAAAGCACAAATGTTCAGCTTTGATCGGTAAACTCGTTTCTTTAGAAAATACAAAATGTTCAAATGTATTCATATTAAATGTATTAATGCTGTGAAAATATAAAATACCAAACATTACATCAAATACTGGCTCGTCATCCTTCGTGTAAACACAATTTAACAAATATTATGGTCTCAAATATATGTGTCTAAAAATAAATAATGGCATCGGATCGCTTAAATAATATTTTCTGCGTATTTCCATATTTTCCTCATATTTCTCCGCTCAAGTACCAACCATTTCTATGCCGCAGCATCTATCTGAGAGCAGTTTTTTAATGTTCAGACAAACATTTTACACTTTTTACATTTAGTTTATCAACAAATGCACAACTCAGACAAGAGCAGCCTGAATCTTTATTTAAACAACCCCCAAAAAGTTGCATTTTCACTCAATTCAACCATTAAAAAGCTGCTCAAGTCTAACTTCTATAAAATATCTATTTATACCAACTTTACATGTCAGAAACTTGTAAATGCATTTCTACCTTCTGACTAGAAAAAACCCAGGATCGTCTCACTGCCAATGTGACTGTCAGAACAAGTTAAAGTAACTTTCTGTGGACAGAAGCCATCCATCAATCATGTACATGTGGCAACATGCATTATGAGAACCATGAGCACCACCTGGGCACCATCAGGGCACCGTCATGCCAGCGCTTCGTGTCTGTCACTTCAGATTTCAATATTGCTGCAGAGGGTGGCAGACCTGTTAGGGGTTGGGTACCCGCGAACTGAGCTGTCAAAATTAGCAATCTTTCTGGTTGGTTTAAAGGGCGAAGAGGGCCACGCGCTGAGGCAACAGCTAAGACCCAAGAGGAATGGAACTGGGAACTCACTCATTACTGCATGTTATCAAATTAACAAAATATTTTTAGATTGATCCTTATTAACATTTGAAATAAAGTGGCAGTTATTAGGCCAATTATTTCACGTAATTGTGCCTTATCAAGTCACGTAATAGTGTTGATACGTCTGCCAATTATTCCTTAATGTCTAACCTGACCTTTGAAAGTGATTGTGTTAATGACAATTCCATAAATTTGCCTTTTTTCCCGATTAATTGCTGCAGTGTAATGACACAGAGATAGGGGGTTGTGTGTGTGTCCGTGTGCGTGGGAGTGTGTGTGTGTGTGTGTGTGTCATAACTGGTGACGTTAGATTTTTGCATTTGGCAAGCTTTATTTGTTTTTTTTTTTCTTCTTCTTTGCTTCATTTGGTGACAGATTGGGTTTAAATAACATTATATCTTCACAGTTGTGACTCACAAGCTCAGGCGCTACAAAGTCAGGGTGAGGTTTAGCACTTCAGACGAGGAAGGACCAGGTCACTTTGTCTTTTAGTTTAGCACTTTCCACTGAGCCGAAGAAGACCATTCCTTCTGAACACTTTCGCTCAATCACTTCACTGTTTTACAACAGAACCCATTCTTTTCTCATCTTGACACTTAAAAGCTGAAGTTTGTGGCAATTCCTCGAGCAGATGGATGCACTGAAACGGAGAGAAACTTTTTGCAACTTTCGCATTGAGATACAAAGCTGAAATACAGCAAATGATTTCAAAACACAAAAGCTTGTAAACAATGTGGGTAAAATGTAAAAAAAAAAGAAAAAAGAAAAAAAAAGGAAGTCAGAAGCTTGTCGAATGCTGCTTTGGCGCATTGCAGGATGCTAAGCATATAGCTCATGCTAGCATCAGTGCTAGGCTTAGGTCCTGGTGGGGCACGGCTCTTTCCTGGGCCTCAGGTAACAAAACATGTGGGACTTTATTCATTTTAATGTTGCTGCTGCAGGCTGTAACATCTCCTCAAGCAATACTCCTGCATTAACTCTGAACCAGATCACGCCACTGTCAGCCATGGCCCCAATCATCTGCCATGTTGGTTTTTGCAGCTCTTTTACATTCAAAGGCTAACTGCTTTACATCCCCTCCTGGAGCTCCCTGCAAGGACACTTTACATTTTTCTAAGATGGATCCAGCCCAAGGTAATTTTGTTGCAATCTGATTAATAAAGCCAGATCTACAAAATAATTGTCAATTATTTTGTTTTCTAACCAAACACAACCAGATTCTGATATTTTAAATGAACGTTTGCATTTATTTTGAATAAAGAGCAGCCTTCGTTTAGAGCATTATGGGATTTGAGTTGATAGATTCTGCTTTTGTTTTGTCCAACACAATCCAAAGCCTCCTTTCTGCTCTCTATAACTAACAAATGCATTTTACCGTCAGAAAAACTCTAAAGCAGACTAATGAAACAGCTGCTAGGTTCACCCAAAAGTTGTGCACTTGCATTGCAGTGGCCACCTTCTCCAAAATGCTCACACACAGCTATCAGGTGGTTGATCCTGCTCTCAGCTATCCATCTATTAAATGCCAAGTCTTATCATGGGGTGGAGCAGAGAGGAGGGACACAGACTGTCACTCCTGCGACTAAAGAGTGCACTCAGCAGTGCACAAAAAGTAATACAGACACACAGTGGCAAGACTTCATTGATCATCAATCAGACATCACGGCAAACAAGCTGCAGTACGCTGGCAGTCACATTCTTGGTTACATGATGCAGGTCAAATTATGAAAAACACAAGTTACTTTGGAAATCTCAAAGTAGAGCTAACATTGATAATTTAGTATTTTCAACAATTTGAGTTTTGGGCAGTTTGCTGTTGATTTTGCAGCAAGTTGAAGATGCTGTCAGTTGTTTGAGCCGAGTCTTTAAAAAAAAGTAGCTAAAGGCTACAAAAGATTCACTTCAGACTTGCATGTCAGAGTCTTTTAAGCAAGCACCAACTCTACCAAGAACACACATCTTAAATCATCAATGTCATTTCTGCAGAATCCACCTGACACGAAGGAGAGGTGGGAATCTACAGCTCAGACAGTTGGACTGTGGCACAAATCTGGAGCAGGCCAACATAAAACAGGCGACCAAGTTCATTGTAAAGTACAGGAAAGTCATTGCTAGAAAGGATCATTTTGTCAGTGACTGAGAAAAGGCCTGCTTGTGTTTCTGAGAGTTATTCAAAAGAAGTTATCAACAGTTGGGTGTTTATTCATGAAACAGACCACTTGGATTAATTTAACTACAAAATATTGCTAATAAATATATCACAGTGACTAAATTTTAACCATTTCAAAGAAAAAGCTTGAAATCCAAAAAGCAGGATTATCACTCATGTGCCTATAAGGGTGCTTTAATTTGACGGTGTGAAATTGGAGCCCCTTTGAAGAACATCCACAGAACCCTTTCCCCTATTTACTCCTCATCTGTGGTGTGACTCTGACATGTCTCTTTTGTACACTAGAAATATGGTCGAGCTAAATTGAGGTACATTCAATGAGATATGTTACTAGAACTTTCAGGTGAATCAATTTAGCTCAACAAAATGAAAATGAGGCCTGTTATGTAAGTGGGCTTTTCACTGTGTTGAATGCATTTCCCTTAACAGATACTGGATTCAGTTCCCTTTCATCTTCATCATCATTATCATCAGCACTGTTTCAATAAATGCTCCAAATAGCAACAAAACAAGCAAAAAAAAACTGTTTGCATTTGAAAAATGATGCCAGTGAAAAGCCGGTCCGCTGCAGAAACACAACTTTTAGATGCGGATTATATAAATTTTTCGGGAACAATTTATCAACGATTGATTTCTCTAAAATTTTAAATTTCTTAATGTTTCATTGATAATAATGAGAATGAAAAAAATTTTAAATGTAGATTTTAACATTGAGGGCATTTGTTGAAAATGCCAGGTAATAGTTTTAAAATCATTTTTGAAATCGCAAAACAAAAAATACAAGATAAATTATAGAAACCAAGCCAATAATTAATTTTACATTATTATTGTAAATTGTAAGCTTGCTATTTTTATTTAGAAGGCCTTTTATCAGGAGAATGAACGCTGACATCTTTGGTGTGTTCTTGCTGTGCTGAAATTATAATTCCATCTTTCAGTTCTTTTTAAAACACAGAGGTTTTATTTACCTGCAACGTTTCGAAACGTTGCAGGTAAATAAAACCTTTCTGTGTTTTAAAAAGAACTGAGATGGAATGAACGCTGACATTTAGTTAAAAAAACATCTGTAAAAATACATTAATGATCTCTGTTTATGATGCATAAAATCCATTGTTTGCAAAGCTACATGTTAACAAAAAGAGTTTTTAAAATTTCAAGCAAAAATATTGTTCTAAAAAATTCCCTCAGCGTCGGAATCGTTTTTATTCTGGGAACAAATTATTAGTAAATTAAGCAGAAAAACACAGCAAATGATTTCTGAAAATAAAAATTTAAAAAAACTTTAAAAAATAAATGTTTTAGCTCATGTCAGAGAAATTAAAGATGCAAGAAAAAATCAGAAAGAAATTCCTTTCTTTATACTTTTTTTTTGCTAATTTTGCGATTTGTCGTCGCAGCCATCTGCTTATGCGTCACTTTGTAATTTTTCTTTTTCCATTGTTTTAAGATTTGCAAAACTTAATGTGCTTCATCAAAAGAGACTGAACTCCCATCAGCTCACTCTTTCAAGGTTGTCGCTAATTGGCGAGATTCTCTCTCATTTCAGCTCTTTTTGTTTCTTCAAGGCGCGTTGTCTCATCACAATCAAATAACGTGCAACGATAAATAAGAATCACAGTTTTTGATCAAACGCTGCGACTCAAATCAGATGTTTGTCTGAGAGCCTCTAAGACTTCTCTCCAAGTGTGAAACTTGTCTGAGTTTGTGAAATAAAAGGCTGCCATCTGTTTTTTTGTATGTTTGTCTGCAGAGAGGACATTGAACTGTCAGCAGTGTCCCTCCTACTAATCAAGACTCTTAGATATCCTGACAACACAAATCTTTAATTCTTATACAGTCCTTTCACTCGTATTTACATTAGTAGGTCAACTGTGGTCAAAGTGCAACAATAAATATTCGCCTTTTGATGTAGATGTGGGTTCTGTCAGTTGTTTTATTCACGCCACAAGCTGTAATCCAATTTTAAAATTTAATTTTAGATGAAAAATCTGATTATAACGTTGACAGAAAAATAAGTTTTTAAAAAATAATTCTCTCTTTCTTCCTTTCTCTCTCTCGGCCACGGACGCTATTACTGTAAAACATCCAGAAATATTTCACTCCAGCTCAAGTTTAAAAACCGGAGCAGTGGGAAACTGTGAGGGGGAGGGAAAAAAAAGAGAAACAACAAAAAACTCACAAGTCTTATCCTTTGAATCTCAAAGAAAACTTTCTCACATGACTTCCCAAAGTTAGTCCACCGCGTTGAAAGCAGCGAAAGATTTAAAAAGAAATGATCTAAAGGCTTCCTTGTGTCGTACTTGGAAAGCTTTTAACTGAAAAGACTCAAACAGACTTACGTATGAGGCTGTCACATTTTACTCATCTCAAAACTCCAAATTCAAGCTGAAAATATTTATGTAGTCACTCTTTCTAAAACTAAAGTTGTTTGATGTGCGTGACTTTATTATATTTACAACATAATTCTCTGCATTGTGGAAATTGCTAACTGTGTCAAGCTCAGAGAACTCGTTACGTAAGGTTAGCGTGTAGGTTTGACTTCAGGAAACTTGTGCTACAGGGGCGCATTTGCTCTTCTCACCACATACCTAACATATTTTAGATAGTTGTAACACTTAGATGCAAAAACAGGTCGAACAAAAGGTTAAACGCTGAGCGTTAGCATCAAACGTGATGTTTTCATGCTGCAGCAGCATCAGCTCCATCTTCCTTCTCCCTCTGTTAGCTTAGCAACAGCAGCCATTTTGTCTGCATTTACATTGTTCGAGACATCTTTCTGAGGTTGCGCGCATTTCTTTGAATGGGACCACCAATTTAATTTAAACTTCTGCTGGAACAAGAGCTTTTATTTTGAAGGAATTAAGGTAAACTGCAGTGATGCTTTTATTTTCTGTTCAGAAGGTGCCAAATGGTGTTTAGCATTAACCACATGACTGTCGCACAAAGGCACATACGTACAATACATCCATGTGCATTCGCATTGAGTGTGCGCACATGCACGGATGCGTGCACTTTCACACACAAACACACACGTATGAATGAGATGAGTTTTTCCCTTTCTTAGAGGCTACTTCAACCACCCGCAGCTCCCTCCATCAGCAGACAACCGAGCACAGGATGTATAAGCCCAGCTGTCCAGAGGTCACCTCAGCTTGTGTATTTCCCTGGAGTGGATTCACAGAAGCAGAGTGGACCAACAACATGCATTCAGCTTTCAGTTTTGACTGGACCTTCAGTCAAGCTTTAGGGGTGAGTAGCTCAATCTGTACTTTTAATTCTCAGCGCCACAGAGGGAAGCTGTGATGGACAGATCTGCTTGACGTTGTTCTTATAAGTCTTTGAAATTCTGTAATTTAAAACCATGTCATCAATTAGTTATCATTGCACCAATTAGTTCCCTCTTTAGTTTTTGACAGAATAATTCACTGGAAATGAATCAATTTTTCATTTTGCACTTCATGCTAGCTGCTTTCTGAGCCTGAGAAAGAGCTCAACACACCAGATTTCTTTCAGATGAACTGTTTTGGTGGTTCTTTGTGAAACATCAGCTAGACAACAACCGTACAAAAACCAATAAATTCATTTTCACAACTAAGACCAGCTCTCTGTCTTTGTGTTTGGGAGGTTTCAGGGCTCGTTGTTATTTACAGGCCAACTGATCGGCCCTGAACACAACATGCTAGAATAGACCTGCAGCTAGCTTAGCTACTGTGGATTTTGTCGCAGAATAAAAAGACAAACAATTGCAGACACTCACCTCTGCTCTGTGGAAATACTCCATCCTAAAAAGTCTCCTCTGGTTCTGGTAAGGTCCAAAATGTCCATGTTCCTGAGACAGAAGAGAGTGTCTCAGAAGGAGTGGGAGTGAGGCCCAGAGAAAGGGCTTCCTGTGTTTCCAAAGAGCTGCCCTAACTACCCCAGTAAATATAGGAGAGCAAATCCTTTTCAGGTTGTGAGTATGACTCGGGACCGCCACATAAATCAGTGCAGGCCCTGCCCGGCAAAGGCTGGGAACGCCATGGGAGTGGTAGGCGGCTCTACGGTGAGGTTTTTGGGGAAGGATTATGGATTGAGACGTACAGCTGGGAGGTTAAAGTTACACTTTTCATCACCACTTCGAGGGGGTCTTGCTGCCTGGAAGCCAGTCAGATTTGTGAAGACCTCTTTTTCCCTCTGGAATGGTTGTAGTTCTGCAGGCACATCCTTCACCTGAGGATAATTGTTTTTGATATGGCAAGAACAATTTGGCAAAACGCGTTTAGAAATGCATTCTCTCTCTCTCTCTCTCTCTCTCTCTCTCTGTTTTGCCAGAGAAAGACTGAAAAAAAGAAAAAAGGAGAGGGTATTGTGAAAAGTCCTTATTCACCAAAAGACCAGAGTAAAGAGGGAGCAGTATGCCCCCTTCTGGTTCTTTTCTTCTCTTCCTCTTTTCTTCTTCTTTCCTGGCATCTGGAGATGTGAAGAAACGTCTTTTGATCAGTTCTGACAGAGCCTGGGCCATGTGAAGAGGGTGGCTCGCAGGACTCTGCCAATCCATGCAAGGCAAAAAAATGTTCCTAATAAGAGAGCAATAAACTAACGAGTGCAGGGTGTCCGTCTGATCCACGTTCGAGGTACAGTTTTTGCCAGCAAATCCATTGCATTGTGACGTCTACCCGACTCTCATCAGCTTTTCTGGACTCTCTGCCAGGTCACTGCATTTAATCTGCATAGTCCCATATGCTCCCACTGATGGTGCAATAACCTGAAATATAGAAACTTTGTTCACCAAAAATGAAAAGTTGGAGGATTTACAGACATTGGATTTGCATCACTCCTCATCTTTTGACCATGTGGGGTTTATGAATTACTAAAAATGGGCCTAAATGAGAGTGGGGAAAAGCAAAGTGCAGGTTTATATGTAAACTGAGTGGTTCTATTGTAAAGTTTGAAGGGGTCACTTATCAAGGAGCTGCAGAGTAAATTCTCTGTTCTGTACAACACGACAAGACGATAGGTACCACTCACATCTTCTCAGTGCAGGCCAAAGAAACATCACCTCCACTGCAACGGGAGAAGGGCAACAGCACAGCAGCCAAAACATGCTTCTTATATCGGCCCACAGCCGAACCAGCCAAGTCCACAGTGCTGCGGGGCATCCCAGACATGAACAGGTGCTCTGCTGGTGTAGTCGGCACTGGTCTTGGGCCTGTTTCTGGGACTGTGCTAAATGCTGGATGTGTGAGGGCTAGTGAGGACAGGCTGGCCAGACTTTAATGGTTTGTCGGTGAGCCCTGGGCTCAGTGCTGATAATTACAACGGGGAGAGGGAAATCAGCAGCGCTGGGCTACCCAACGAGGGGGACGGGCCCACGCCCAGCAGGGAGGGGAGTTTCTGCCGCAGGAGGGACCAATCAAGTGTGAAGTCGAGCGCAGACCCTGGGCCTTGGTTCAGTGGGAAAAGCCTTGGCTGCTGGTTCAGAGCGCCGCAACTTTCACGGATTAGTAGAGACTATTCTGAAGACTGAAAGGGGGAACACAGCACGGAGGCAGCATCAATGCATGTGTGCACGCACACAAACACACAACCACACAGCCACACAAACTCTCCTTTTCTTTTAGGCTCTCACACACAAAACCCACCAACAGCTGGGAGGAGGGCTACAGCAATCACACAATTACCATAGCAACGGCATATCTCACATTTGAGCCCAAACGAAGACACTTTGGGCTGCAACTGGATATTTATTCTTCCATTTAATACAAGTATTTTAATAGTTTCTCTGCATGCCTGCCGAACCCTTCCCCCTGACTGAGTTAAAGAGCTGCAATTGGTGCTGCTTAGTGCATCAGACTAGCATTTAGTCATTTTGCAAATTATAGGATATCAACACTGCAAATTTAACTTCTGTAGTTTAGTGGCAAAGGGTCCAGCATTTCTGCTGTGAATTCAATTTTTTTTCTTAATCCTCGTCACTTCCCTTGGTCTCGTGTAGGAATTGGTGTATTTTAAAGAATCAGCTCTTTTAGACAAACACGTTGCTAAAATAATGTCCACACTTCCACAGGTCCAGCTTTAAAGAACATGTTTTATCAACTTGTGTAGTCTTAAAGGAACTCCTCGAAAAAAGTGTTGCTTTTCAGAAAGTAGAAGAAAGAAAAATGTTTCAATGTTTGTGATTTGAAGAGAGTAAAAGTGGATGGTTTCAGTTGTCGAGTGATTGTTTTCTTGGAGACTGAAAAAACAACTCAAGGAAGGATACCTAAGTGAGATTTTCTTTTTTTAGAAAATGTTTTTCTGTAAATCATTGAAGCACTTTTTCTTTCACAAGCATAATTTGCAATTAACACTTATTAAAACTGATAGTTTTAAGTGAAGATGTGATGCACCACATGTGACCCTTTTTAGTTCCCTGCAACATAACATTATCTGTTCTATTAGGAACACCAGCTGTAGCACCAACATCTCCAATCAAATTAGACCTTTTGTAAACAAAAGATTACATTCTTTCACATCCGTTTTACTCACAGATGCAACATAATGCAATAATCTTCCCAGAGTAAAGACTGTCCACTCTAGCAGCTCGCTAGTGGAGCCACACATATGCACTGACAGAGCCATGGGATTGGACACCTTCCACCAGCACTCAGCTACCTTCCAAGAAGTAGGAGAGAAACAAATAGCGTGAATGCATCAGGGAATGGCTCTTTTATTTATTTTTTTGTCCTTGTTTGTTTGTTTTTGTGACAACAAAAGAAACTAAGAAATATGGTAATGGTAAAATATGGTAACAATCAAACAGCAACAGACTGCATGTTTGAGAATCACTTTTCTGCTAAACTGGCATGTTGATGTTTGCAGCAGAAGGTGTGTGCTCCAGTATTAAAAACAGTACTCAATAATAAAGGACAGCAAACTTCTTGTACTCGTGCAAAGTTAAACTTCATTTGGGACTCCATTAAAGTTAAACACACTCAATGCCTTGTGGAAAATATGATCACTTTTAAATCAAACAAAAGTAAAAGAAATAGTGTATGTTCACGCCTATGTTCACGAGCTTTGGGTGTTTTGACTGAAAGAACAAGATCGTGGATACAAATAAAATGAGACAGAAGACAAAATGAGTTTCCTCTGCAGGGTTTCTGGGCTCTCCCTTAGAGATAGGGTTAGAAGCTTGGCCATCCGGGAGGGGTTCGGAGTAGATTTGCTGCTCCTCCGCATTGAGAGGAGCCAGTTGAAGTGGTACAGGCATCTGGTTAGGATGCCTCCTGGATGCCTCCCTGATGAAGTTTCCCAGGCACGTCCAACTGAGAGAAGACCTAAAGGAAGACCCAGGACATGCTGGAAGGACTATTGGGCCATTCCCATCTGTACCGGGTCGGCCCGGGCCGGGTAGCCCCGGTCGGCCCCAGCCTGGCCCGGTTGATTCCACACATCCTTGCCTTAAGTCCATGTGGGCTGATTCTACCCACCAATCAGAGGCTTGCTCTAATGGAAGGTGTGAATTTGCTGTCAGCAGTGGGTGTGTTGGCCCTGGTCGGCCTGAAGCAGACCCCCTCGAGAAGAGGGCTGAGAATGAGCTTGGTTGGCCCAGAAAAATACCAGGCCACCCAGATATGTAAACAACCTATGCTACCCGGCCCGGGCCGACCCGGTACGGATGGGAATGGCCCATATGTCTCTCGGCTGGCCAGGGAACGCCTTGGGATTAATGTACGTTCTAACATTTTTATGTTCAGAATTTTTACAATTATGCTTTTTTAGACCTACACTCACTTCGCACTTTATTGGGTACACCTTCTAGAATCAAGGCTGTACCCACTTTTTTCTTCAGAACTGCCTTAATCCTTCATGGCATTGATTCAAAACGGTACTGGGAATATTTCTCAGAGGTTTTGATCCATATTGACATCATAGCACCATGCAGCTGCTGAAGATTTGTTGGCTGCACATCCATGATGTGAATCTCCCAGTCAAAGATGCTCTTTTGGATTGAGATCTGGTGACAGGACGCCATTTGAGTACAGTAAACTCATTGTCATGTTCAATAAACCAGTCTGAGATGATTCCAGCTTTATGACATGGTGCTTTATCCTGCTGGAAGTAGCCATCAGAATATGGTACACTGTGGTCATGAAGAGATGGACATGGTCAGCAACAACACAGGTAGACCGTGGCATTGCAACGATGATCAGTTAGTGCTAAGGGGCCCAAGGCGTGCAAAGAAATGTCCCCCACACCATTGCACCACCAGCAGCAGCCTGAACAGTTGATACAAGGCAGGATGGATCCATGCTTTCATGTTGATGATGCCAAATTCTGACCCTACCATCTGAATGTTGCAGCAGAAATGGAGACTCATCAGACCAGGCTACATTTTTCCAATCTTCTATTGTCCAATTTTGGTCAGCCTTTGTGAATTGTAGCCTCAGTTTCCTGTTCTTGGCTGACAGGAGTGGCACCCGGTGTGGTCTTCTGCTGCTGTAGCCCATCTGCCTCAAGGTTCTACGTGTTGTGTTCAGAGATGCTCTTCTGCATACCTTGGTTTTAACAAGTGGTTATTTGAGTTACTGTTCCCTTTCTATCAGCTCAAACCAGTCTACCCATTCTCCTCTGACCTCTGACATCAACAAGGCATTTTCACCCACAGAACTGGTCCCTTGATATGCCACACCTGTGAGGTGGGATGGATTATCTTGGTAAAGGAAAAAGTGCTCACTAACACACATGTAGACAGATTTCAGCACAACATTTGTGAGTTGTGGGTGTTTTGTGCATGTAGAAAAAGATTCAGATGTTTGAGTTCAGCTCATGAAAAATATCAGCAAAAAAAAGCGTTCAGGTTTATTAACTTTATCAGGAGTCATCTGACTAATATTTGCAGCAAACAGATTAATATAACACAAGACTAGTGCACACCTTTATGTTTGTTACAATGTTTTTGATAAATGATAAGAGAAAGGCGTAATGTACAAAGGCCTCAAGTGTAAAAATACTGTAAAATTCACACGAGACAGCTCAACCATTCCTCACAGCAAAACACAAAAACTCTACTGATTCATATCCACAAACACGTTCTAACTGTTTTCTTTTGTTACTTTGGAACAAACAAATACTATACATACAAACACAAACAAACATGACTTTCAAACAGAATAATTGAGTCCAAGTCTTATTTCATCCACCTATACGTAAGTGAGGTTTTAAATAGTATAATGCTACGGTTTAGTCTGGCTCACTGCTGCTGTTTACTTTCTGTAGATGTTTAATGTCAAAACAAAATGACTTAGTTAATGGTAGCACATTGGTGCATGGTTAGTTACATAATGTTGTGTTAAACATGCAGATTAAAAACCAGATGCTCTTCTTTTTATTACCGACTCCTGAGTCCTGCATCTTCTACTAAACACATAAAAAGTAAATGAAACATACTTTGCTTTACAACGCTTTTTAAGCTGCACTGTAGCAGAAAAAACAGTATTGTGCTCAAATACACAAAAAAAAACATTAGGATTTCTGTTTCACTGCTTTCTCCAACAACTCATTTTCATTCAAACTCCTTTTTGACTGTTGTTCAGAGATCAAAGCTTGGATGGCTTTAAACTTTTTCAGTTTTAATGAGGATAAAACTGAATAAATTGTTTTATTTTAATGTTCCAGTGGTACCCACACCACCCTAGCAAGCCTCCAGCCCATTTTAAAACAGCAGAATCATGTTCTAGATTGTAGATTCTAACATAGAAAAAGAGATTAGTTAAGATATATATATATATGTGTGTGTGTGTGTGTGTGTGTACAGGGGTGGACTGACTATCTGGAGCACCGGGAGCTGTCCCGGTGGGCCGACGAACCCAATGTGGGCGGTGCCGACGAGCCATTCTGACATTTATTAATTATTTCATTCATTCATTCATCCACTCGTTTCGTTCGTCTTTCTCTCTCGCCCTCAGATTTCTTACAAATTGGGCCGGCCAATAGTTTACCGAGGCTAGCAGTGTGTTGCCCACATCAAGATGTATTATTGGTCTGTTTCTCATCGTCATGGGCTGACTGGTTCAGGGCATTGCGACAGGGCTGTCAATCACAGGCAGCACAAACCAGGGTGGGCGGGGCCTCATCGCTAGTCAGCGGGAGTGGTTGGACAGTGCCATGCCTCGGACTGTTGATGTGAAATTGGAGAAGCCGAAGAAATGTTTGGGTGGCGCAGAAAAGTTGCGGCAAAAAAGTTTGAAGTCTCTAGAGGTGGGAGCTGCTAAGTGTTCAAAGTTGACAGACCTATTTGGTCCTGGGTCAGCCTTAGTCACCCCCCTGCAGGTGCTGCTGGTGCGCCAGGAGAAAGGGCGACACTACAGTAAGTAGCATTAGCACGGGGCTGGCTAGGTTACATTTTAAACCATGATGTGTGTGTTCAATTACAATTTGAAAATAAAACGTTTTATATCTATAGCTGTCATCATAAAATATGAGCTAAAAAGGCCGTGAGTGTTGGTATTTGGGTTGATTTAGTTTAAATATATATGCCAAAGATTGGTTTCATGTGACAACACAACATTCTAAAGAGCCCATAGTTAAACAGTAATGGGCCATTCCCATCTGTACCGGGTCGGCCCGGGCCGGGTAGCCCCAGTTGGCCCCAGTCTGGCCCGGTTGTTTCCACACATCCTTGTCTTAAGCCCATGTGGGCTGATTCTACCCACCAATCAGAGGCTTGCTCTAATGGAAGGTGTGAATGGGCTGACTCTACCCACCAATCAGAGGCTTGCTCTAATGGAAGGTGTGAATTTCTTGTCAGCAGTGGGTGTGTTGGCCCTGGTCGGCCTGAAGCAGTACCCCTCGGGAAGAGGGCCGAGAATGAGCCTTGGTTGGCCCGGGAAAATTCCAGGCCACCCAGATATGTAAACAACCTACGCTACCCGGCCCGGGCCGACCCGCTACAGGTGGGAATGGGGCTTAAGTGACCCCCTTTCCATCGGAAAGGACCAGCAGCGCCAGCATGTTACCGGGCAGCACATTCTCACGTACTCTGCTGCTTGCCCCTTCCTATCGGCCGCTTATGAGAGGTGCATCGACCGCAAATGCGGCGCGACAGCGCCCATGGTAGATCAGAAAATATCCTTTTAATGCTCTGCACAGATTATTATCAAAACATATTATTTTACTTAACGCATGGTGATCAGACACATTTATTCACTGCTGTATGAAGCAGATGTGTGGTAACAGCCCTCCTGCTCTTCTCCGCTCTGCTCCTTTACCTGTTTTTTAACAGCTCCTCCGTGGACGTGGTGGAGCGATTTAATGTTCAAACTCCGTGGATTATCATCAGATCTCATTCTAGGCAATGCAGGGTGATCCAACTGATTTATTATTTGTTGCATCATGGAGGAGAAGTGTGTCAAACTGTCCCGCTGCCCACCAATTTCTCCCTTCTGTTACAGTTTCTCCTTCTCCTGCCACCCGAGGCTGGAGGAGAAACTTGAGGGTGGGGGTGGGGGGTGGGGGGGAGCACGACTGTGATTTTTTTAAATGCAGGTGTCCTGTTCCCAACACATCTGATAATCACAGGCTAACATGAAGCAGAAAAAGTAAAAAAAAAATGTTTTTATTTAACTCCCCATCCATTTAGAAAACTGCAGATATTTCCATCTATTTCATCTCCATTCTCATTATGTTCCCTCCGGCTCCGGTGGAAAGCAGGGGTGACTGAGGACAACTCTAATTAATTTTTCCTTAAAGATGCACAAGTGTATTCAAAACATGTGTGATGTTGACCAGTAGAAAGGACTTTCAGCAACATAGGAATGAATAATATGGCAGGTTTGTGAATCCAATCACTGTAAAATAATGTTCAGGGAAAACATTTGGACAGTTTCTTTTTGGAAATTTCTTCCAAAAACAAATTTTCTCCCATTGAGTTGTACTGCCTGGACCTAGCCTCTAACTGCAATATGTGATGGATAGACTAGCAGAGAAGAGTGAGCTGCTTACAAAGCTGCTCCACTGATAAGGTGGGAAATATTTAATAAAGTTATCATCACACATTATAGATGTTGTAATTCCTTATTTGTTGTTTTAATGATCCTTTACAGATTTATTGTACGTGGGTATTAATCCTTAATTTTGTGTGACCATGTACACTAAATCATCACTTATTCTCTATTACAGGCTGTTCTGATATATTTGAGGAGTCGTTCTCTCTGTTCATTGTGGGTTTGTTCGAAGACCTGCTTTCTATCTGCCACCACTGTACCAAAGTTTGGCTGTTGAGCCTCTTTTCAAATGGTAAGTTTAAAATGTTTTATGAAATCATACTTAATTGTGGACTATTAGAGACTAATGTTTCCCATGTCCCTCACAGTTTGGCCTCTTGACATGTGTTCCCCCCCCATCCATGTTTGAGGAACTGCTTTCTCTCTGCTTCCACTGTACCAGAGGTTGGCTTTTGAACGGTAAATTTATGATGTTCTATAAAATCCTACTTAATCTGGGAAGATTAGGGACTTCATGATGCATCCCATGTTCCTTTCAGTTCTCTATTGATGGTTTCTTTATGACTGAGTCACCGTTAAATCAAAGAAGTTTCAGGTCTAATGCTGCTATTTATTTAGATCATTTATCAGGATATTTAGTTTTTATTGTCCAGGTCTGTTTTTAACTAACACTGAGTGTATACTACAAGATTTTTACTGTCACAGACTAAAAACTTGAAAGGTAGCACCAGGGCTCTTCCCATTAGCCTTCCTGCCCCACCCTTAGTCATGACACAACCTCTGCTGTTATTTAACAGTATAATGAATACAAACTGATTGCTTGATTGATTGAATGGTTGACTGATATAGCTGTAAATTTTAGTCCTTGAGTGAATTTGCATTCTTTATTTGTTAACTATCACAGAATATGACTATCCTTTGTACTATTCAGAGAGGAGACGCAGAAAATTTTGCTGACTTCTATGTAGTGTCCGCGGCTAATGTAGTGGGCTGATCTGAAGAGAGAATTAATATGAAGTGTGTGTTCCCTCATTAGTCCAAAGAATCTAAGGTAATATTAAATCAAATATTCAACGACCAACCAGATTTATAGTTCATATTTATGTGGAATATCACTCATCCATCACGCTACATACAGACCCTTGGGTTGAGCACTTCTCTCTGTAACTGGTTTCTGTACTTCTTTGGTGTGTTCATGCCGTGTCGTGGTTCTAATTCCATGCTTTAGTTCTTTTTAAAACACAGAAACAGTTTTACCTGTTTTGTCGCTATGTTTCGTCTGCGGCTGCAGGCTTCCTCAGGCTGACGCTGATGGTGGCGTCATTTCCTTCTCCGTTTATCTGCGGGCAGAAGAGGACGTTGTCGCCCTCTGCTGCCCGCTCTCCCCTCTCCGATGATGCAGTCCCATGCGCGGTCCAACGGGTAAACTCCATCGTCCCTGTTCATGGTCCCACATCCACGTCTCCTTATCTCGATTGCTTCTTTAATCCATCTTTTGGTTTCTGTACTTCCTGTCCAATCAACACATTCTCACACCCGAAGTGGCTAAAACTGATGAAGGGTGACCAAGCATTTGTTTCTGACGCATTGGAAGGCGACACGCTGTGCCAGAGCATCACTTTCTGACGCCCGCGGTAAAACGGAGATTTTATCGACATTAACTTCTAACCTCTAGCGATTTAACCTTACCCTCACCGCCATCCTAACCTTAACCCAACTGTGTATGCAAAACTTTTCTAGTTGTATCGTTCCTGTCAAACATGGTTAACAGGAAATTTAGAACGAGAAACTGGGTTAAGGTTAGGAAGGTTAAATTGCTAGAGGTTAAATGTTGGTAAAATCTCAGTTTTACCATGGGCGTCGGAAAGCAAAGCTCTGGCACAGCGGATCGTCTCCCAACACGTTGGAAACAAACGCTTTGTTACCCTTCGTCAGTTTTAGCCGCTTCGGGTGTGACAATCTGTTGGTCCAATAGACAGCAGCAGGCTGTGAAAATCCACAATGTCTCATCATCGTTCAGAGTCCTTAGCACTGGCTCCCCTCAAGGCTGTGTGCTAAGTCTCCTCTTGTTCATGCTGCTAGCACATGATTGCTCTTCTAAACATTCAGGCTGCCGTTTTGTGAAGTTTGCAGATGACACAGCTGTAGTTGGATGCATCATGATGAGACCGGCTACAGGAAGGAGAACACTTAGAGGACTGGTGCAGGAAAAACAATCTCAGTTTAAATGAGAAGAAAACTAAAGACATGATTGTGGAGGGAGAGAGGACAGGAGGGGAGGACACATACATACACCCTTATGTAGTACCCAGCTATAAGTACCTGGGCCTGCTACTGAACAGCAAGCTCACCTGGGAAAACAACACTTTGAGCCTGATTAGGAAGGCTCACCAGAGGCTCTACTTCATGAGGAGACTGAGGCGTGTGGGACTTGACAGTTCAGTCCTCATCTCCTTTTAAAGATGTGTGGTGGAGAGTGTTCTGTCATCAACGTGTGGCATGGAAACTGCACCGTGGCAGAGAGGAAAGCCCTACAGAGGGTGGTGAAGGCCGCACAGAGAGTTGATGGAGGTAGCCTCCCAACCATCTCAGACATATACACCTCCAGATGCTGGAAGAGGGCCACCTGTATCATGAGGGACCCTACTCATCCAGCACACTTATTCTTTGTCCCGCTCCACTTGGCCAGGAGGCTGAGGAGCATAAAATGCAAAACCATCAGAATGAAAGCTGTGAGCCTTTTGAATGCATAATTGGACAAGAACTGTACTATAGCTCTGAAACCATTACTGACAGCTACAGACAGCTGAAGAGAATTACCTGTTAACACTGTCATAGTATTTATACTGGTCACCATGCCTTTTCGATGCTAAAGTATTTTTATCCTTATATTCATACTCTATACTGGTACTCAGGATGCAGCATTTTTATTGCATTTTTATGTGGTTTTGTTGCACTTTTAACTCTTTTGTTCCGGGACCATGCAAACGTAATTTTGTTCCACCCCATGTAAACATGTGATACAAATGACAATAAAGAATCCTTCATCCTTGATCCTCAAACGGGACACCGTTACACTCTTTCTGCCTAGTGAAGCAGAGAGGTGGGGACGATCTTTAAGTCTGGCCGAATCTAACGTACAGTAGCATTTTAGCTACATCTGCACTCCGTCGCATCAAACAACGAGGCAATAAATAATCTTAAAAGTTCCGAGGCTGATCAGTACCAACATAGTAATAAGGGTGGCCACGTTTGTTAAAAGCAGAAGTAGAGCCGAGTCAGAGCCTTCGATCCATCATCACCAAGTTTTGGGTTTTAGATTCTACATCAGGTGAAATACACACAGCAGGATGGCACTTTTAGGTTAATAGCAGCAGTCTAAACACACTTTAAATTGTAACTATTCAGAAAATTGTACACAAGAAATCATCCCTGTTGTTGTTCTTGTGAGACTGCAGTCAGATCTCTTTACTGCTCGGTGTTGCTTCTCCGGAGGTTTGTCATATCCAACAACAAAGTAGGATGCAAATTGAATTTTCTCTGGTTGTTAGTACAAGCGTGAAAAGCATTGGCTGTAGCTGAGCCTGTACATTTTTGGGGGGTAAATCGTTTTTTAAATCCTCTTCAAATGTTAAAAAGAAAACTGCTACTAGCAATGAAACTTCACAATACAAACACATGGGTATCACGGGATGTTGCTTGCATCAGCGTTTCTTAATGAGGCTACTGAAAAATAAGGTGGATAGCCTAGTTTATATTTATCCATCAGCAGCGGTACGAATTCATGCATTGCTATGATGCCTCAATACAAGAGCTCTGTTGTAGGCTGCAGAGGGAGACACAAACATGCCTATTTTTTTCATTTATTTGCTCAAATCTACAGAGAGTGCAAGCCTGTGGTTGGCCAGGATGCAACAGTAACATAAATGGCTGCAAACCAATGCCATGGTAGCTCCATTCCTTCTTGATAGGTAAGACAACTGTTTGTTCTTATGATTGTTTGACAGTTTAAGAGTTCCTGGCGTCTGAAGACAGGAGCATGAAGAAAGGGCGTTGGACTCTTGAATTGTGCATTTCAAAGTTTAGCTTGCTCGAACAGCTTTTCTAGGAACTCCTACTCTACCTTTAATGTTGCATTGGTTTGCATGGAAGTTGATACTGGAACCAACCACAAGGAGGTGCTTGTTTTTATTCATCTCCAACTTCAAGGTTCTATTCCCAGGTAGGTTGCCTACAGGCTTCAGACTGCTGCAGATTATCTGTCAACACAAACACCAAAGAAGCATTCTCACATTTGTTGTCAACACATATTTTATGATTCTTCTAAAAGTTGATCTTTGAAGTGCAGAAAACTTCTCCATCTGACCTCGGTTAACCTGGCACACCCTCCAGATCACTCTTGATCCACAGATCCCAGTCAACCGAAACAGAGGCAACTGAACTTCTTTTTGATTCCAGAAGATGTTTTGCTTCTCATCTGAGGAGATTTCTCAGTTCTTTAAAAGCAGTAATCAGAGCAAAGGGTGGGTATTTGGAAGAAAATAGAACATAAAACATGTTTTCAGTTATTTCACCTTTTTTGGTTAAGTACTTAACTCCACATGTGTTCATTCATAATGCCTTTGATGTCATGTTCAAGAAACCAATTTGAAATTATTGGAGTTTTATGACATGGTGCATTGTCCTGCTGGAAGTAGCCATCAGAGGATGGGTCATGAAGGGATGGACATGGTCAGAGGCAATGCTCAGGTAGCCCGTGGCATTTAAAGCATGCCCAGTTGGCACTAAGGGACCTAAAGTGTGCCAAGAAAACATCCCCTACACCATTACACCACTACCACCAGCCTGCACACAAGGCATGATGGATCCATGTTCTCATTCTGTTTATGCCAAATTTTTACTCTACCATTAATGCCTCGACAGAAATCGAGACTCATCAGACTAGGCAACATTTTTCCAGTATTCAACTGTCCAATTTTGGTGAGCTCGTGCAAATTGTAGCCTCTTTTTCCTATTTGTAGTGGAGATGAGTGGTACCTGGTAGGGTATTCTGCTGTTGTAGCCCATTCGCCTCAAGGTTGTGTGTGTTGCTTCACAAATGCTTTGCTGCATTCCTCGGTTGTAACGAGTGGTTATTTCAGTCAAAGTTGCTCTTCTATTAGCTTGAATCAGTCGGCCCATTTTCCTCTGACCTCTAGCATCAACAAGACATTTTCGCCCACAGGACTGCCGCATACTGGATGCTTTTCCCTTTTCACACCATTCTTTGTAAACCCTAGAAATGGTTGTGTGTGAAAATCCCAGTAACTGAGCACATTGTGAAATACTCAGACCACTAACAACAATGCCACGCTCAAAATAGCTTAAATCACCTTTTTTGTCATTCTGACATTCAATTTGGAGTTCAAGAGATTGTCTTGACCAGGACCACACAGGTTAATTAGATAATTGCGTTAAGA